TATAATAGCTCTATGGTCAATAAAAAAACAAGATCATGAAGTGTTTTGCTCTAAAGCCCGCTCACATGAAGCTATTTCAGCAGTTTTATTCTTGACGTTTTCATTACCTTCCAGAATGAGCCGTTTCAGGGGATGTCACTTTAAAGTTAAACCGTCCGACTTTTTCAGTCGTTGTACGACATCATTGCAGGGTGCGGCTCGAGATTCTTGTTCTCACACTGTAAAACCTGATGCTCGGAAGCGACCTGTCTGCTCACGCTGTACGTGTGGCAGCAAAACTTCGGACCTATAGGCAGGCTAAAAACACGTCAGAGAGAAGTCTGCTGTCCGTAAGGCTTGCCACAGTTTTAGGAGGACATGCAGGAGTTTATGTGGGTTTGAGGTAGAAGAAGAATGAATTGCAAGAAGGAAGTAAACCAAGATTTGGAGATCCATTTTTAGGTGGTTTTATGTTAGCTTTCCCATCTGTGACATCACAACCAGGGACTTTTTGAAACAGCTTGTTTTTGACACATAATTCCTAAAACTAACCACTGACAGAAAACTGATGGGTTTTTTAAAATATTTGAAGTGTTCGTAGAGGCAGTAGAGACCCGCATTGCAACGCAAAACAATGAAAAAGGTGACTTTTGCATAATATGTCCCCTTTAAAGTCCACGTTCAGAAAATAAAACCCTTAATCTAAACGAGACACGAGGAAGGGACAATCTCCGGCTGCTATAAGTGACAAAAATTGCAGTTACCCTCTCATCTACAAGTAGATGGCTCCAGAAAGGAGCAAGTTCCCATTGACTCCAACGTTAAAAATGCCAACTTCACAGCAGAAATAAACATTTCTACAGCCTGGTTCTAAAGCAATTTTAGGTTTAATATAGTTTACCGTCATGACAACTCTGTTCATATTTTCTACAGTGACACAAGTTGTATCTTCTGGTCACTCAAACCTGGAAAAGGTCAGATTCAGTGTAAACAATACTTGAGTCCAATTTTCGAGTCATTTCGTGACTTTTTTATGACTCAAGCAGATCCATGAGAATTAATTATTTATGAGTAATATGGAATACAGTTTTATTCTTTCAACAAAGTACAAAAACAAGGTAGAAGTCCTATAGAGTTTTATCAAGATATGTTCCTCTATGAAATTGTTTTTTCACTTCAAAATATGCAACAAATAAGGAACTAAACTAAACAATGAGGAGGCTTTTTATTTGCATCACAGGAATTACGCGTAAACTCTCAGTGTATAGTTCGTCTTTTTACAGAGCCCTCCTGGAGCGGCCACTTTAAATCTAGCCAGCCTGACATGAGTACACGTCTCACTCATAAGTCTTCAAGTCATGACTCGCTGCCGGCAGTTTTAACTGAAAATGCTCTCAGAAGCTGAAGCATCCTCGGCACAAACACTGAGACATTTAAAACTGCTCGAGTGCAGAAAAAGCTTCACGGATCTAAATATACACACTCGTACTACAAACAGGAAACGGGACTAAAAGGGATCCAAATATTGTGCTAGTGCAAACAGCTGTTCACTATAATAATCCTGCTCCAGTGTTTTTTTTTCCCCTATAAGAATAATCTATGGCATCAAAAAAAGTGCTCAGATACCAACATTTACTGTATAAGTAAAGCAGTTTAATGGTATCAAAAGTAAACACTTATTCCACATCCCAGCTCATCAGCTCACAGAATGAACTGTTGCGGTCATCTGCTGATTATTTATTGCTCTATTCATGGCATCACTGTGAGATTCTGCTGGCATCAGGAGCATCTGCTGTGTCTCAGTGAAGCTTAGAAGCTGATTCATGCATTTAACTTGCATTTCACCCAGTTTTGGAGTTTGTGAAAATCAACAATGCTGTAAGTTTAATGGTGCATAATTGTTATCCAAATAAGTCTGCAATATTTTGGAACCTGATTTCGTTGTACGAGCAAAAACTGAAAGAAAAACAGCAATAAGGAAGCAGAAGACTGATGGAGACAACTGGAATAATAGCTGGAAACTAGAACCTGTCTGAATAAATTCTGAGGGGTACCGAAGAAGCTACAGGCTGATTTTTCTGCAATATGTTGGTTTAAGCTACGCTGAGACAAAAAGCTCATGTATGGATGTGAAAACTGTGTCACAGGTTTAAAGAAAACCAAGATCCCCGCACACATGTTCAAGCTGCTGCCACCCCTTCTTTATAATAATAGAGGCATTTTACCCTCAAGCTCTTTTCCAACTGGGAACAATGTTGATGCAAAACGGGAGTGAAAGCCTTCCAAACAGCTGGTCCTGTGAGGTCACAAAATTATGGAAGAATTGCAACACCCCGCGTGATTTTGGAAGTTACAAGCAAGGAGAGAGACGGCCGCGTACATGGATGTAGTTTTGACTTTAAAAGTGTGTGTGTGTGTGTGTGTGGGGGGGGGGGGGGGGGGGGGGGGGGGGGGCCACAACCGGCATGAGGATCGGAGGGGCAAGGGGGTCTTTAGAGGAAGTATACAAAAAATATGCAATGTCAGGAATGTAGAACTGTCAAGTATTCAGGTGGCAGGGAGAGCCAATCACATGTTAGCAAGTTTCAGTCGAGCCAATTGATAAGCTTATGGACGGTTCTAATGGGAGACAAGCTTCAACACAAGCGATTGTTTGTTGCTTGGTCCTAGTGCCCAACCAGTGTCTATTTAATAAAAGGTATTATAGTTTTTGGATGGTAAAAAGTGCAGGGGACAAGAAATGACTTGTCCCTGTCCCCCCAAAAACTACGTCCATGGCTGCATGTATCCTAAAAGATATGTGGCTTATTTTCTGTTTTGTAGCTATGGGGGTTTTAACAGGTAGGTAGGTTTATCTGCTTGCGACTTTTATTTTTAAAGTTTTGGAAGCGAAGCATGTACATAACAGATAATTGCTGCGTAGTACGATTTGCAGCCATCTCACTGCGCTTTCAAGTCTGGTGGGAATTTATTTTTTCACCATGGTAACCACACACCTGTCTTTTACACGCTGCGGAAACACTTAAAGCAAGACTGAAGAGTTTTTTTTAACTCTAAGCTATTTCTTTCAAAGTGGGTTTCAGTGATCCTTGAGGGAGAAACACCAACTTCAGATTTGACACCACTATGTGGACCCCTTCTGACCAGAAACCGCTTAACAATTTAGTGAGATGGGTAGGTACCCTAGGTGGAGCTCTCTACTTGTTTTATGGCTGTTAACTGTTTGTTCTGCTGATAGCTAGTATAAAATATGAAGTGCCTTGGGGGGTTCCAGGACTCTAGAAGGCGCTATTTCAAATTCAGGCCATTTACCATTTACCATTTACCATAATCAAGCAGTTAGCATTTTCAGTTTGTCGACTGTCAATAAAATGCACAAGAAGAAGAAGAAGAAAAAGTAGTTTTTTTTGGCATCATGGCAGAGCCTCCAGTTAAAAGAAAGAGAGTCTTTGGAGGCGAAGCAAAGCTAAAACCAAAGTGAGCATCAGTGCTGCCTACACTCGTGTCAGGGAGCTGAAGAAGATATTAAATCATGAACTGGTGACCTGGATTTGTTGCTACTGGACTTGTAAGGAATAATATTTTTTGTCAACTGTGTGGATCTTTTTACTTTGTGGCTTATTTAGTATCAGTTGGTTTGTGTTAGCATTAGCTTGTTGTTGGCGCTAGCTACAGCAGGCTGTGACAGGGTTGTTTACGACAACTGTAATTCCACTTTTAACCAGTAGGGCAGAGAAACAGGAAGCTCTTTAGTGTTGTCTTAAAGAGAGGCAGACAGAAAAGAAGATTAAAAGTAAAATTTGACAGGTTTAATATATATGTACATCCAATGTTGAAGGAAATTGTTTGACCTGAAATAAAAGGAAATTCTACGGAAGCTCAGGCGTGCAAGAAAATCATAAGTCAGGGTGATGAGAGACACAGTCTCTTAAATAGACAAAATGTCATTGGTGCATATTACAGTTCTTTATTTTTAGTTTGTTTGCACCATTACACTAACGTAAAAATTCATTTTTAAAATCTTCCAAAAAATTCCACCAAACTCATGAAAATACCAGTGCCTTCATGCAAAGTCCAACTTTTTGTGACCTGTGTAAACTCTGATATGCATGTCTTGTTTTCCTAAAATTCCACTTTTGTCAACAGGAAATGTTATTATAGTTCTTTGCCAGCTCCAGGGGTCTTAGACTCGAGGGTCGCAATCCGGCATATTTAGTTTTTACCCTACTTAAACACAAGTGGGGTTTTTTTTTCAGCTGGTGATTAAAAAGGCTCAACAGGTGACACAACCATCAAACAGTGTGCTGGAGCAGGAAAACAACTAAAACATGCTGAACTATGGCCTTCGAGGACCAGAGTTGGAGACCCTGGTCTACGCTGAACAATGTACCACATCCAAATTTCACAGCGTTTCATTATCAATAAATCTGCACAACTTCATGTATAATTTACAAGTTGTTTTGCGTTTCCTCAAAGCTGAGAAACATGAACACAAACAGAATTGTGACAGAATAACAATAAGGGGGCTTTGGCTTCCTGAGATTTACGTGCTGCACAAAATGACCCAAATGTGAAACATTTTCAAAGGCTAGACAGAGACAATGTGTTACACGAAGCCTTAGGGGGCCATGAAGAATTAAAATTATGAGTGTGTGTGGGGGAGAGGGGGTGTTCAGGCATCAGATCAAGATATCACCGCATCACCAAAGCAGCCCTGACAAATCTCTATTCATATAAATTCACAGTCAGGCATTAAAAAGTCTCACAAGGAAAAAGTACAATCCACCTGAAGTAGCTAAAAGGCCTAGAATGTTTCTCTTCCATTTGCAGGGTGTGCACGCCCACCAGAGAGAGGTAAGAATTAAAAAAGAGAAAGGATAGAGTGGAAGAAAGGCATGAGTTCAAGACAAGGCAGTTCCCCTTTTATTTCAAAATAATTAACACGTGACTTTTATTCAAGATTGAAGCTAAGAGATGACGTGATGGATGAGAACAAGTGTCAGAGAAAAAGATTCACTTACAGCGGGGTCCTTTAGAGGACGTTTCAGTGTGCTCTCCTCCATCGAGAGCAAGATTTGTCCACATTATCAAAGCAAAGGGTGACCAAAACAGGGTAAAAAAAAAGACAGGAGCAGTGTGTGTGTGAGGGTCGACGGGAAGGAAAGAACTGGGATCAGGATTTAATGCATGTGCATGTGTGCTTGCAAGAGGGAAAGCGACTGAGAAGAAGAAGAGAGGCAAGAGATGCAGAGAGTTGGTGAAAAATGAGTGGCTGCTCTGGAAATGGGAGGGTGGCACGTTGACCAATCGGCTCAGAGATAAATCGAGTGAAGAAGAGACGGCAACAAAGAGACAGATTTTCTTTACACTCCCTTACCTCTGCTTTCACTCTTTTGCTGTTTGGATATTTAAAAAGATATGCAAGCAGGACTATCAAATAAAAAGTAACAGATCCATTTGCACACACCCACACACACACACACACACACACACACATGCATGGATGTACTAAGGTGCAGCAGAGCTGATGCAGGGAACACGGGGACGTAAATCACAAAATCCTGCTGGGAACTCAAATAACCGAGTGACAAATGTGGAGCTTGGATTTAAAAGGTGGAGCAGAGGCAGAAGGACTGCAGCTTAGAATAAAGTCATGCCAGGAATATAAATTGTTTCTTCTTTTGCTGTAATCTAAAGTGGAAGGAAATCATATTTTAAATAATCTTTCTATGTGGACGCCTGTGTGCGTGCGTGTGGGGGTGGGGGTGGGGAGCAGACAGTATTTTCATGAATCTGCTTTGGAGCACCATGTTGCCATGGAGACTGCATCCAGTGCAGCAGGAACCACAGACGGCTGCCCTCCCCTTCTCCCTGGAACAGTTCAGTTGGCTTCCATTGCCCGACCTGTAACTTACAAACTCCAGTAGCGATGAATTTGTGGGAGGAACGAGTCCAGATGTGGGAAGCCCTCTGACTCAACAGAATTTATTATTAAACCAATATATCACAGAGAGCCTTCTGCCACAGACAAGCACACAGCAGAGAGATAAAGCTCTGTCAGTACAAATGGGTAAAGTAAAGCTTCTACTTCCACTTCCAGCTAGTAATCACAAGCAGATTTTAATTACAGCTCACTGAGCGTGCATGGCCTGCATCTGAATGCACACTGAGCTGAGCTCTGTTGTCGCTGGAGCAGCTGAGGCAAAATACACACACACACACACACACACACACACACACACACACACACACACACACACACACACACACACACACACACACACACACACACACACACACACACACAGAGAGAGAAATCAATATTTCAGTTCTGTCCTATCACAAGTTCTTAGATTGATTATCCAACTATCAGCTTATAGATGATGACACTGTCTTGCACAAAAGTGATCCATAAAAGTGAAAGTAATTCACAGAGAAACTCTACAGAACAGTTTTTTTTACTCAAAAATACTGCTAATAATTCCTTTTTCTCATTTTTCCAATCTTTGTTTTCCAGCACCGAAATAAGTGCACACAGATTTATCAGTGGTTCGAGCAGTGTTGTTCAACAAAGATTTAAAATCACTTTTTTCAGCAACTTTATAACTTACCCATCCATCTTTGCTATCCACAGGCCAGCTTCAAAGGAGATCGTTTCAGTGCTCCTCTTCTTTCACTACAAAAAAAGAAGAAAAAATGAAGATCAAATTAAAATTAACATCAGCTGCAATAGTAGGGTCAACAGTTTAAGAAGATTTTGTTTATTTAAAGCACAATAATAATAATAATAATAATAATAATAATATAATAAATAACCATGATAATAAATAACAAAAAATTTAATAAAAAGCCAATTCACTGTTGAAAAAACGCTAATTATTTAGTGAAATGGTTTAATTTAATCTGCTCCGGAGGTGCTGCTTTCGCTAAGAAATGGCGTCATCTAGTGTTTGAGTAGCGTTCAACTTCCACCGTTTATTAATTACGTGGGATATGTGATTTTTAAGACAATTCGACACAAATGTGACCTAAGATGCTCTTTAAAAATATTAATTATTAAACATAAACTTTAAATATTAAAAAAACCACTCACAGCACACGGTTGTAAGACTATTACTGTAAGACGAAACACCTCTCAATAAAAATATTTAATTACCGATATTGGTAGGGTGTTCCAAAACCACATTATACCTAAATAAAAAATGAAATAGTTCTACCTCGGGAATCTTAAATGTTTATACATGTTTATGTTTTTTGGCGATTTTTGGCATCAGACCTCGTGGCGCAACGGTAGCGCGTCTGACTCCAGATCAGAAGGTTGCGTGTTCAAATCACGTCGGGGTCAACATGTATTTGTTTTAGTCGCAAGGTTCCAATCAAACAGTCAAAATACATATTAGAGGACAAGTGATTCTTTCACAAATGACAGACGGATCTCTTTTATTAGAATAACACACTCCCTTCTGCAAGGTAGAAAAAACTAATGCTAAAAAAGTGTTTGAAGAATTTATTTATTTATTTATTAAATGAATTATTTATTTATTTATTTATTTCTATTTGTTTAAAATAAATAATATATGTTTATTATTATTATTGTTACATTACTTTGCAGAGTATTCATATTTTAATACTACAATATTATTTGCATATTCAGTATACAACAGCTAAATAACGATTCCTCTTTGGCCTTCAGACAAGTCAGTTCTGCAGACATAGTCTTATAGTACACAGGCTAGGTATTGCTTATGTTTTTCTCTAAACTGTTTTCAATGGCAGCACATTTTTAACAATAAAATAGCAGTTTTCCAACAAGACCCTAAAACCAGTGATTCGGTTGTAATAGAACATTTCTCTTGGTTATGAAGCATCTTCTGATCATGTATAAGAACAATGTACCTGTTGCTCCAGCTGCCAGAAAGCATAAAGAACACTTCTCAGGCTTTGAGGCTCATTTTAAGTCCTGCTCTCTTCTTCTTCATGTCCCCGTCTGACGTTTTCGCTCTCACTTGTCCTCCTATTGCCTCACATGCTTCTTTCTGCTTAAATGCCTTTGCACAATATGACTTTCAAGCCTTCCTCCCACTTCTCGCCCCACCTCCTTTCTCCCCTCGGTCTCATCTTTCACTAAACTCTGAATGCACAATTCATTAGCACGGCCCTTGGCCGAGTCAGTGGGTCACCTCCAGTCCTGAGGAGCTGACTCACATGTGACGGTCCTTCGCTGCACTCAATTTTTTTCCAATGACAACAGCCTGATTGTCTTCTGAAGGTCTCAGTTTACATCAAGCAGGTCAGCTAGTGCTGCGTCTGCAGAGTACAAGGCCATTCTTTGAGCCTTTTGTTACAAAAATGATAAACAAAAGCTTGAATGTTTACAGACGTGTTCACATCTCACTCTTCTTTTTCCAGGCCACTGCTAATGTCCCTGTAAGCACTTGCCAGTGGGTGGAATGAATGTGGTGGGACAACAGGATGAGAAAGAGACTGTATCAGGAAGTGCATGAATCTGTAAACAGACTTGGTTTCCTATGTAACACAGCTGTACCCCTAACAAGCTCTCTATTTACTTGTGATGATGTCATAAGCTACACATGGCCATCACAGCCACTCTGTTTATTTTTTAAGGTCAGATGCAGATTTTGCAAAGCAACCGTTTCAGTCTTGTCTGCACCTCAAGATAAACTTAGATTATATGTCTCCATCAGCGGGAGTGTGAGGCATGCACACATGACCAGAGTTGCCATGTGCATAGATATGTATATAAACATATCTAAGGCTGCGTGCTGATAGGAAGGGCAAACAATAGCTTGGGGCCCCGAGAAGTTCGACAAACTGACCAAGTCAGAAGTGCAACAGTAGTGACTCAGCGAAAAGCTGTTGCTTGACAGCACGGTTGGCTGTCTCACACTCTGTCTCCCCCTCCCTGCTGATTGCCTATCCATTGACTGGTCTCCAAAGCCTGCTGTCTGAAGTTCAGCTGTGATGTAGGCAACATTTAAGTCCGAGAAACGGTGCACCAGTATTCCCCCCACCGCCGAGAACCACTTACAAGGCATTCATTCCTACTAGAGACAACTGCAAATGCATTGATTAAACAAGTGAACTACTCCTTTAACCATTCTGTATCGAAATATGTATTTCAGAGGCTTTAACGAACAAATATATCCCTCATTCTGTTTGACCTCTTCATGAGATTGGCCTCCTCCAAACCCACATTTCTGGGAATTTTCTTCCATGTATTAAACGTCTGCTGCACATATTTGTACTCTTTCAGTGAAGTGTATACATTTTAACTTGATCTTCTGGAGGACACCTTTGATCTGCATCTAGACATCCATGGCCCAAACCCAATACTCGCACTTCCATCATTGCATCCTTCAATTGAACACTCCAGTCCAGCGGTGCGAGTGCGTAGGGTGTCCTGATCCTCAAGTGCAGACGCTGACCACGCCCCTTTTGCACCCTTGATCCGAACGTTGCCTTAGCCCGCATCAATACGAGCTTGGGCGAAGGGTATTACCCACAATCCACTGCTGCATGGGAATTTTGAGAATGCGGAACACTGACTCAAGCGTCTTCTATGAAAATATTTGGTTTCAAACAAAAGTTCATTTTAAGACGATTAATATTTATTGATGCTCTGAATGTTTTAGACTAAGATTTAATGTGAAAAGCAATTAATGTAAATTTTGTCAATTGTTTGAAAGTTGTTCATTTACTTTTTTTAAGTAGGACAATGGTCATGGTCGATGATGCAACAGTCACTGTCCCAATTCTGCAATTATTTGCACACTTGTGTACTACACACACTGCAGGCATCAGCAGAACGGAAGAGGAGCATGGCGGCTCACTCGCGAACTTCAAAGCGGTCCTTTTCACACCGGGAGAGTCTTGGCCGTGGCACGGCTTCCTCGCTGTACCCGCGGGATTCTAAAATCCCTCGAGACTTCCAACACCTTCCTCATCGAGGAATCACACTGCTGCACTTCTCGAAAGAAACTGGTGATAAACAAAGCCGTTCAGTCACACGTGCTGACGTAAGTTATACACATCGCAACGTTGCATTTTATTTTGAAAATAATCGGGGATTTTACACTGACACCGTGCGTGGTTTCCCGTCTCACACTATGTGAACTGCGTAAATTGCCGTATCCCAGAAGTGGCTCACGGAAAAACTAGAACTCAATTCTATTTTTAGCGGCGTGGCGCGGCATGCCGCTTCTGGGATGTGCCTGGAAATTGCCGCGTCGCGGCTGGTTTGAAACACTCAAGACTATAAATGGATTCTATTAGAAGCGGTGCCGCTTCGCTGATGTTCCGTTCCGCAGATGCTTGCAGTGGGAAACCGGCTTTACTCCTCACTTCCTCCATGTGCACTTCAAAAAAGACCAAAGGGTGCAGTGTGAGCTTTGGAATTGGGCCCATCACTGTTGACAATGTTAGAGGAAGTGGTGTGCTTACCAACCACATCCTTGTGCTCTCTGTAGGCTTTGATGGCCATTAAAAAAAAAACATGACTCCGGCACCCTCTACAAGCCTGCCACAGAGCTCTTGCATCAACGGATGATGGCGTGGCATGTTTCTGCTCCACTGCTGATGGAGAAACTAGGCTTTAGGCACAGGTGTGTGGTTTCCATGGTGACCTAAATAAGCCACCAGCAGTGGCTTTAACATTATACTTTTTTTTTTACAGTGTTGAGGATTTACCCTCATGAGGAAATTACTGTGCAGTGATTTTCTCCAAAAGACTGTGCTAAATTGCTCTGAAAAGCATATTAAACATCAGCGCCAGCTGACACTTCATTTCCCATAAAACTTCGCGCCCGGAAGCAGTGTGATGACGTCACCAAAACGGAGTCGAGAGCACGAGTTCTGCGCATGTGCGAGTTTTCCCGCCAACTCCAAAGTTATAAATTACAATGACACGACAGTGTTCTTTGTTCTTTTGTCCAGTTTAACTGGCGGTGAAGGACACGCTGGTTGCTACGACTCCGGTCAACGTGAGCACGCAGGAGGCCTGGCGGCTTAAGTGGATCAAACACAGAACCGCTGAAAAGCAGGGTTTGGAAACCCAGCAGATATGCTGTCTTTTGCTCAACTCCAGCTGATGTGCGAGGACACAGAACCTGGCTGGGAAACAACGGAGCTCCATCAGACCGACGGGAAGACACTCGTTTGCCCACCGGACAGCGTGCGAGGCCTGGCTGTCGGAGGGGACGAAGTCGAACAGCGGATAAAACAACGGAGGACCATCAGATCTGCAGCGTGAGGAACAAGGGGACGCCTTTGGTTTGCTAACGCATGAGTTTTATTTTATTTTATTCCTCTTCCTATCTCTCTTCTTCTCTCGTCTCTTCTAGACCAAGATAAGCAGTCAACCGCGTGAGATTGCTTCAAATTATCAGACGAGTTTTTTCTTTTTCGTACCCAAATACGTCCGTCGGGTCATTTTGGTAAAGAATAAACTGCTTATTGATCATTGTTTGGTATCTTAAAATGGTTTCTGCTATGGCCAAGCTGTTAACCTAAAAGATATTAATTTGTGATTAATCTTTGGTGAAGCTTCATGATCCTTTTGAAATGTTTCGAGTGATTTAAAGTTAAGACTGTGAAACTAAGTGCAAGCTAATTCCTTTGTCTGCATCTGAGAGAGAAAAAGTCACAGCTTACAGCTCACATTCCTCCAGCATCACATCACACACACACACACATACTTGTTTTTAGGGTTTGCGGGGGACTCAAGCTAAAGACACACTTATTGGGTCAGATTGTTTTACATCATTATTACATTATTATTCCATTGTTTAATTAAATGTTATTCAATTCAGTTTTGTCTCAAGCGACTTTTTGTGTTGACTGAAAATCTCAGCTCCTAAACGGATTTATGAATTTCAGACAGATTGATAAGGTTTTTTGGATTCAATTAATTTTCCCCTATTAAAGGGGTGTTGCCCCGAAGATATCTAAGAATATCTTAATTGATTAATAAATCGGTAAATATTCCCATATTTACAGAATTTATTTAAGAATCCAAAGTAAGTAAAAGCTTACAAATTATTTGCTTACCTAATAACCCCAACAGTGTAGATAATACAGGTTGGTCTTAGATCGATGAAACATGTTGGTGCTCACACATTTAGTACAAAGGTCTAGCCGTGCTTTTAGAGAAAAATAATGAAGTGAAAAGCAGGCAATGAAATCCGAGCAGGTGCAAGGACACAATCACCTGAGAGAAGTCCAAGGCTGACGGGACAAAAAGGGAGATATTTGAGCCTGAAAAGCAATGACTTGCACCTTAATATCAATTGTGTACGAGCTATATTAGAGATGCAATATTTAATATTATTTAGAATATCAATCTTTATTGTGCACAAAATAACAAAAAAATAAAAAGACAGCTGTTGGGATTTTGCAGACTGACTGATCACCAAAAATCAGTAGTGTTCAAAGCAAGTCAATAATTGCCTTGTTCCCACTAAAAAACACAAAAAGTAAAAAGTAGAATAAAACTACAAACATTTAAAAGACTAAATTTAACACACACACACACACACACACACACACACACGCATACGCACGCGCACACACACATCAAGTGTTTGATCCTCTGAAGTTTTGTTCCTCCAAATCATCCAATTTATTTCTGCCTCCGATGCGCTTCAGGAAGGATGTAAATCCTCCCTCTCCACGGCTCCCCGTCCTGCTGTACGATCCATCTTCTCTCGTGGTAGTGTTCCCTGACCCAGGGGAGTAAGAACTTTGAGACGTGCTCCTCTGGAACAAGTACCCCAGCCGAAAGCCTGTGGCTGGAGATCGTGAAGTTTCATTCACAGAAGCAGACCTGAGGAGTCGAGCCTGTGACAGAGCTTTCCGACGGAAGTACTCAGGAAGAGACACGGTTCCTCCTGATTGAGAACTCGAACTGTTTCCACTGCAAGTATCAAGTGAAGAATCCTTCTCGTCATCACTGTCCCAGATTCTGTCATCAAGATCATTTTCGCTGGATGACGATGACGAACGGCGGGTTTGTCTTTTTCTGGAGGTGAGAGGGCTGAGAATGGTCCAAGGGGAACCCAATTTCCCGTTATTGTTGAAGACGTAGTCTCTCGTTATAGAAGGAGGGGTGTTTGGGGTAGCAGGCCCGTCTTGTTTCGTCTCTGAACGACGAGGACTTCCTTTAACTGCGTCATCGTCACGGACACCTTTGCTGTTTTGGTACTTGAGCACCTTACGAGTAATCTCACGCATTTTCTCAGCTTCTTTCAAGTTTTCCTGGTCTTGTTCCAGCAGTTTTGGTTGCTTTTTCTCTGGGCTCTCCTGGCTCATACATGAAGTTTTCCCTTCCGCTTTTTGAGAGCTGCTGCTAGAAAGAGCTCCTTTACGAGGAAGAGCTAGGTTTCTCCTACTTCTGGATAAACCATCTGGGACTTTGACAAGCAGACTGTGCAGCGCTGACTCCAGACACGCAGGTTCTTCGTTAGACTCGAGTACTGAACAAGATGATGTAGAGTGGCGTTTGGAAGCTATACGGAAGCTCTCCGTTCGCTTGTGTCGTTCTTCAGCTGCTTCTCTCTCCCGATTCTCCTGCAGCCACAAAAAAATACAGTCTGCATCAACGCAGCAGTGCGGATAACATGAAAGGTGTTTTGAGGAAAACAGGTTTGTCCTCCTACCTTCACAGCCGTGTCAAACCTCTTACAAAAAGAGTGAAATATTGAGCAGCACTCCTCTAGTTTGAAGACTGCAGGGTCTTCACAGAAGAAGTCAGCAACAGCAAAGCTCAGAGTTTTCAGTTCCTGAAGAAACGTCTCCACCTCTGCAAGCTTGGCCTCAGCCCTCTGACACAGAAGCACCAGTCAGCTAAAACAAACTCAACATCTCAATGTCGAATTTCTTTCCGAACTTCGAGATGATCAAGTTTAAACCTGAAGAAATTGCTCCATTTGTTGCAAAAGGCCAGGCTGTCGGCTGCTGAACATCTGCACTTCTTTAATCTTCTGAACTTCCAGCGTAAAATCTGCAACTACATCATCCTTACAAATTCTGAGGAGTCACATAAATAAAAATTATTAATTAACTTTTTTTTGTTGGATAACAGGATTTAGTTTTTACCCAATGTCAACATTTTGAGGGGCCACCAGGGACATTATTCTAACACCCCCCCCCCCCCCCACACACACACACACACACACACACACACACCCACACCCCCCCACACCCACACCCACACACACACCCACACACACTTAAAAAAAGCTTTTACACACATAAAAATATCAAACAAAGTAGGAACCTTGATGCCATCCCAATGTGAAGTAACTTTTTAGGAAACATCAGCAGCTCTGTGTCGATGTCTTCTGCTTGCTGTGATAAAAAACAGAAATAAATAAAAAAAATAAGCTGAAGAATTAATTTGTTACCAAAAACAGGAAATTAAATATTTATATACATTTTTCTTCTAAATTTCCCTCATTTCACATCTAAAGGAGACACCTCACCTTGGCAACATAGTGCATGAGGTTCATGCCTGGCTTGTTGGCTTTGGTGTCTGCCAGTTTGAGCAGGGAGGTCATTCTGAATCCAATAGCATTGGCACTGTAACCACCCTGAGGCAGAAATCATTGGAAAGGTTCATTCATCTGTTTAATGGCTGGCTTAAAAAATAAATAAATAAAAACTCAGTTCTGAAAAAAAAAAATACCAACAGCGTTCATGTAATTTCCTGCTTTCAGCACCAGTCGAATCACTGAATGCAGGTCATCACAGTCTAAAAGTTCTAAAAGTAATGAAAGAGAAGAATGAAGACTTTATTATAATCAACAGGAGAAACGACTGAAACTGGGAACGTTAGCAGCTGGATCAGTGGAACTGAAAGGTTACCATTAGCCGCTTTAGTCAGGACACAAACTGCGTTCTTCACTTCCTCCATAGCAGGAAAGAATTCCTCCCTCAGAACCATGGCTTTCAGTCGTTCCCCGTATCTAAACGAAGGACTAATGTAGTTTCTGAAGAACCCATCAGATACATTGATATAATCTCTAGAACACTCCTTTAATCTGTTTTAATACTGAAGTTAAAGAAAAATAACCCATTTTCTACTTTGGAAACTAGAAAGTTTTGCGTTAATATTTGAAAACTGCCGACTCACCCTGGCACTTTGACAAGTTTCACCATAAACTGGTCAGCCTCGGGTAGAGTCGAGAGGTTTCCCCTGAACGACAGCAGCTTCTTCATCTACATGGTAACCAAAAATATGACTCAACTAAGAGAAAACGCAAGACTTTATTCCAAAATGGAAATACAATTAAGAATGAAAATGAAGGATATCAAACACAGTCGTTGCCAAGCATCACTTACCAGTCTGGTCATGCCGTAAACAGGGGAACTACTTAACCAACACACAGATGTTACAACAGTTTATACCTGGAACAGTTTTATTCAGTCTACTGAAGCAGCACTACTCTTTATATCATCAATCAGCTCAAAAGATTACCAAACTGTCAAATGGTCACAAGCAGAATTTTCAAACATGTCAGAACAACAGAAAATCCAACAAGACCCTGAGACGACAACAGTATACCATTACTACCATAAACTGTAAATGTTGGATTATAAATGCAGGCTCTGACGGAGGCCATTAAAGGCGTAGATTACTCGTTTAATCAATGCAGTTGGAGTGGTCTCTAGAAAGAATGAATGCCTTGCAGGCAGAACCCAGGGCACAAAAAAGCCTGCAAACCGCTGGCTTGGCAGACTAATGGGCTCGACACACAGGAGGCGGCATCGCCTCTCCTCCATTCATTTTCAATGAGACATGCACGACAAAGCGATAATCATGGGTCTCCCTCCTACTAAGCGAAATGCGAAAAACGTGCGTGTGAAATTTTGCGCTCATGCACGTGTCGTGCACAGGCAACCCAGCGACGCGATCAATGAGCGGACAGAATGCTCCGTACATCTCCGAGCAAACATGGAGGAGATGATTATTATTATGTCTTATATAGTAAAATCAGAAGTAGGATTTCACATAAATCTAGCAGCACCTTGTGAAACATCCTACCTACCACTTTTTTAACTCTGAACCGCTTAAATAACCTTAATTTCTTCCAACCTGACACAGCCAAACAAAATAACGGAAGTTTCAATTTCGCCATGGAACAGAACGCGTAGACGGCTTTGCCGCTGCTGCGGATCGCCTCCCATGTGTCAGGTAATAAAAGCGACAGCGACGAATTTCACTGATCGTGGTCGTTTGTCGCCTCCCATGTGTTGAGCCACACATGGGAGGTGGCATTGCCTCTCCTCCATTCATTTTCAATGAGACATGCGCAACAAAGCGATAATTGCGGGTCTCCCTCCTACTAAGCGAAACGCGAAAAACGTGCGTGTGAAATTTTGCGCTCGTGCACGTGTCGTGCACAGGCAACCCAGCGATGCGATCCCAGAAAGATGAAATATTTTCTACTTTTCATCGCTGTTGCTCGGACGAGGACCAATCAATGGAGGTTTCATTCACTGACCAATGAGCGGGCAGGATGCTCCGTACATCTCCGAGCGAACATGAAGGAGAAGTTGATTATTATTACGTTTTATATAGAAAAATCAGAAGTAAGATTTCACATAAATCTAGCAGCACCTTGTGAAACATCATATCTACCACTTTATTAACTCTGAACCACTTAAATAACCTTAATTCCCTCCAACCTGACACAGCCAATCAAAACAACGGAAGTTTCGAATTCGCCATGGAACAGAACGGATTCGCCATGGAACAGAACGCGTAGACGGCTTTGCCGCTGCCGCGGGTCGGCTCCAGTGTGTCAGGTAATGAAAGCGACAGCGACGAATTTTGCTGATCGCGGTCGTTTATCGCCTCCCGTGTGTCGAGCCCTTAAATCTGCAACATCACAGCTGAGCTTCAAGATGACAGAAGAGTCTTATTTCCTGATATTTGGACATCTCACACCGGATTGGATAACAGCAACGTGACTACCACCGACTTGCAACGCTGAGGTTTCATCCCCACAAATAACACCTAGAGGAGCTTCTGCTGTGAAGTGAAGCTGCTAACGTTTAGCTGCCGATTCCTGAACAACTGCCCTCCCCGTCGTGAGTCAAGATCAGCAAGTCCATGAATGCTAATTCAGTGATGTAGATCTGTGAGGATTTTCAAATCCTAGTGTTTCATCATCTACATCAGAAGCTAATGCAGGAGACCATTTTCATGTTCAGCCTGCATGAAAAACTCAGCAACTGATAATAATCAGTCAACCACACCTTTAAAACTTTTTTGCAAAAATAATGTCAGACAGAAATCTGATGCAACATTCTAAATTTGATGTTTGCAATTGAGATGCTATCTTCCTTCAGAGCATCATTGACTGTTTTTTCTCCTAAATAACCTGAATTGATTATTGGGCTAAAGGAAGGAAACAAAGTAAATAACAGGTGTTACCTCATTTTCCTCTGGCAGCAGTTTACACAGCTCTTTAAGTTTGCCGGTTCCAAACCGGAGCCAGTTTCCTTGACGGACGTCCTCTATTATTTCTGCCACAGGCCTGCAGAGGTAGAAAAATGACCAAAAAGCACCAAAATCCAAATCCTGTTAAATAAAATCAACTGTTTTCTTTGAATACGTTCAGTACTGGCCATGGATGTAATTTTCACTTTAGAGGGGGGGGGGGGGGGGGGGGGGGGGGATCTTTACAGTATGTTCTAATTGGAAACAGGCTTCAACACAAACAGTTGTTTTCCACTTGGTCCTCGAGCTCAGCAGTGTCAATTTAATATAGCGTAATATTGTTTTTAGATGGTAAAAAGTGCAGGGGTCAAAAGTTGACTTTGGAAAAATGTGTGTGTGTGTGTGGGGGGGGGGGGGGGGGGGACGACATGCCCATGGTACTGGCTGGAAAACACTACAGTGGGATTATTTCAAAAGCTGCCACTGTTAAAATGTTGAATCTACTAACCCAAGGGACAAATGCAGACCAAAGAATCAGAACATTTGAACAAGTTTTGTTTGGTTTGAGTTATGGATGTAAACCAAATCTGCTGGCGATTTCGTCAACATGCACAATGTCCAGCATATGAATGTGCTATTTTTAAAAGCCCGGTTGCAGCTAACCCAGTTTCTATTTGCCCAAGACAATATGCCGTCATCACTACAGTACTTCAAATGCTGACAGTCTATTTGATATTCAAAGTGGCAGCTAAGTGAATCATGATAAAATGTAACAGAAACTGACTCAGACGCTCTAAAAGCTCGTTTGAAAAGTGTGGCGAGTTATTCTTAGAGCTGAATGTAAAAATAGATCATGCTGCTTAGTGTTTTCATTCCAAATCAACTGGAATTACAAACTATGCTTTTAAAATGAGGTGCGTGCAGAGTGGTGAAGGTGGTTTTCTCCACAAAGTTCAAGCAGAGTTTGAATGCTCTCCCTAAAGCCTGGTGAGTCATCCTGGCCACGGCCCACTGATGCCTCTCAGTCATGGGGCGGGACATACGGTTGCCGTGCAAACCGACTCCACATGCTATTGGATAACAAACTATGTGACGTACTCACCGCTTTGGATGTCAGTCAATGAGGAAGCCAGTCTTACTCCGTCAAACAAAATGCAAATACATCCTTTTTCTAAATTAACTCAAAGGTGCATTATGTTGAAATTAAGTAAATATGACATCAAGTGGTAAAGTTTGGTTACTGCAATCACTTTAAACAACTCTGGAGCTTTTTGCTGGCTGTTGTCAAATTACAATCATCTACGCTGCAGCATTAGCTCACAGGAGACACGGCAACCCCACACTCACTGGTGGTAAACGGCCGTTACGTCCCTCCTTCCTTTGTTTCTAAAGGAGAAAAACAGACAATCCCCACAGCCAGCTGGATATGAAACATGTTTCAGTATAACCTTCCTTCCAAAATGACTGAAACATTACTCTTTTGGGATTTACTCAGTAAAATTCTCACTGTGTTCTTACATACTACACCTTTAAGTACCTCTATATGCTCTTGATTCAAAGTCTAAATAGTCCAAAGTTTATGTCAAAGCTGATTCAAATGAGCCGTCACCATCTTTATTTTGTTGCTCAGTCTCATTAATATCCTGCTCAACAGAGTGCTGTGACTGGCCCACCAAACCAATAAGAGTGCTGTGATTGGACCTCTATGGAGCCATCGCCATCTTAGGCCCTGTCCACACGTAGCCGGGGATCTGCCAAAACGTAGATATTTTTCTACGTTTTGGCCTGTCATCCACACAAAAATTGAGTTTTTTCACAAGAAAACGGATCTTTTTAAAAACTCCGGCCAAAGTGAAGATCTGCGTTTTCTCCGTTTTGGGTGTCTGCGTGTGGACAGACAAAACCGGAGTTTTAAGGTCAGCAACGTCACTTTCCGCGACAAAAAAATGCTGACATCACGTGTGCGACCTGTGTTTACACTAGCCGACAGCATGGATGCCCTCAGAGCTGCGCTCGCTTTATCAATTGTCCAAGCGCTTTTAGCTTGTTTGTTTTTGCAAGCGGAATTACTGCTCCTTGCGGAAGACCACAGACGAAGGACGAGGTTAAGAACGGGAGAAGTACTGCCGCCTACAGGTCTGGCATGTCCTTAACAACGTACCGTAAATCCTCTAATACAGGCCCGGGCCTGTATTTGACTCAAGCTCATCAAGCTCCAGGCCTTTATTGGAATGAGGGCCAGTATTAGAGGCAGGCCTATATTTCTATTTGAGCAAAATGAACTAATGGTTCGCTGGAGTTTTTGACAATTAAAATTGCGCCCACATTTTCAAAGTTAAACACATTTCTTTTAACAACGGTAGTTTCTGCTTCAGCCATCTCCCCCCTCCCCCTGCACAGCGGCCGCAAACTCACTGATGCGCCTGCAGCCTCTCGGAGTTCCTGCTGCTCTTAACATTAAAATAATTATTTCATTTTCTGTTCCTCACTTCTGATGACCTTCAATGGTGTCTGTTTGTTGCAACAGCAGGTACAAAAACTAACTTGTTTTTATTTGACCATTTTTCTGTCCTGTCTGTTTATTATCTTCCTGCATCTCCTCTCAATCCTAAAGAAAAACTGCTACCTGGGTTCATATATATTCACCTCATGAGTTACCTTTGAACTGCAGTTCTAAAAGATCTACCGACCGCAAAAACAGCGGAGCGCTTGCTGTTTGGTGGCCGTATCAGTGATCAGTGCGTCGGAGGACAAGGTGATGCGCGCAGCGCCCCGCTCCACAGCATGCAGCGAAACGCATCAGGCGCAAATAAAAGACAGAAAACATTAAAGGAAATGAACTGACATGAACAATCGCGTGTTAAATTAGTTTTTGAGGTGGCGTCACCTGATTGTTACTGTGGCCGTGCTCAGGAGGCAGATCTACCGACCGCGAAAACAGCGGAGCGCTCCCTTCTTGGTGGCCGCATCAGTGATCTGTGCGTCGGAGGACAAGGTGAAGCGCCCCGCTCCACAGCAGCGAAACACATCAGGCGCAAATAAAAGACAGAAAACATTAAAGGAAATGAACCGACATGAACGACCGCGTGTCAGTACCTACGGTCTGGCACAGCGCGTTGCCCCCCCCCCCCCCCCCCCCCCCCAGCGCAGGAGCTTGTCACCTGCTGACAGCAGGCTGCTGTCTTTTCCGAGGACTGCATCTTGCCGGTCATTATCACGTGACAGCGACTAGTCGACAACAGGCATAAAAAGTCACTATAGTGAAGTTGACTAGTTCATACACCCCCTGCTACTGCTCCCCAGAGTGTTCTGCAGCATAATCAGCACGTTCTCTTTGAACTTGATAGTGTAATGACCTGGCTGGGGTTGTAAGCCAGGTGCATTCTGGGTATTGTGTTATATGTGTTTCCTATCGTTCTGCTAGTTCCTATGTGTTGATTTGCGTGTTGTGTGAGTGTTATGCAAGCCACAGGGAAGGTGATGTGTGTTCTGTGGAGCGGGTTGAATTAGCATGGTTAACTGACACCGTGACTCTGTGTGGTAGGAGCGTGATACAGGATCGGTGTCTGTAGCATTACAAAGCGTTGAAGAAAAAGCCCAATAAAGGTCTGCGTGAACCTCTACTGCCTCCTGCTGGTTGATTTGGGGACTATAACCCTGCTGCTGAGACGCTCATACTTGCTTGTTACCACATCCCACCCGGCCACAATAAGAGACCGGCCATTATTCACCTCCGCTGACTCCGGCCAAAATGAGGCCCGGCCTTTAAGGTATTAGAGGATTTACGGTATTTATCTGGGTACGTGTGGACAGTTTTTTTTAAAACGAGGTGGTGTGGATGCAAGTTTTTGGAGGGGCGGATATTCGTTTTTTAAAAACCCCGGCTACGTGTGGACTAGGCCTTAGTTTCACTTAATCGCACTAACTTCCCGCCCGCCTGACAAGAGTGCTATGATTGGCCCACTAAACCAATAGAACGCTGTGACTGGACCGCTACAGATGTCAGTCAACAGAGCAGCCCATCATACAACGTGGAGGAAGATGAACACATCATTTTTGTATACAAATGTGCTGTGATCGGCCAGCCACAATACTGGCCAGGGCTGCAGAAGTTCCAATGGAGTTTTGCAAGATCAACATGCAAAGCAAAGTCATTTAGCTTCCAGGCTACTGATTTATCTCTCAATCCAAAAACAAGCATGTTAACTGAAAGCTGCCATAGCAAATTTGGGAAAAAAATAAAAAATCTGCTTAAAACATTTTTGTTTCATGCCTCTTAACAACATTCTAACACAATTTAGCTACAAACATCTTGTGGAGATTAAGAAAAAATTATTTAAATGGCTCTCTCGCATTAACCCTTTGGTGCATAATGGTCACTACAGTGGACAGGTACTCAAAATTGTTATTTATTTGTTTTTGCTATTAAGCACAGCTGTTGAAGACTTTATTGTATTTGAGCCCCTCCATTTGGACTTCAGTAAGTCAAGCCAACATATTTCATGTTCAGAATGCACGTGGTCCACTAAGGTGGACCTGTAATAAATTATTTGTAAATTATAAAATTTTACAAAAAATATTTGTTGAAATTTGTTTCATTCACACCTAAAGATGAATGAAAAAAATTGTTAAAAAAATCATGGCTGAAGATTTCATAATTCATGCATCAAAGGGTTAATCTAAAAAACCCCACCAATAACACGGCTCGGACCAATAGCAACTGTTGGACCATCTGGTTGTCTGTCTCTCTGAACCGCCGCACTCACCTGGGTCCTAGATTCATTACACACATGCATATTCAGCAGCAGAACACCCCTGGTGAGGGGTTTGTGGCTCAATAATAAGAGAAGGAGAAAAAGCCGGCTGCTACCACTTCAACTTTAGGACAAGCTACCAGTGTCCCCAAAAGAAAAACACTATTTAAAGTCACAGACAACTGGTGGACCTAGAAAGCAGCGACTGGTGTTTAGTGCCTTCTTGTTTCCTCCTGAAATACAGATGTCCGTTTCTGGCAGAAGCGTTTCAGGGAAGATACCCATGGGGAGGGGTGAGTGCGTTTGCGTTCAAAACCATGTTTGTTCTGTAGATTCGCTCTAGTCTTCAGTCATGCCCACACGTTGACGGGTTTTCATAAAACAGAACACCTAGGAAACAAACGTGGGTCCACATCACCTCATTTTCAACGAAAAAACAAATTCATCCAGTACATTGTGAAGCACAGTCGTAGGAATGCCAAGCCTGTAGGTGGCAGTAGTTCCCCAAATCAGCATCTTTGCCAAAACACATCCTTGTATGTGGTCTAACTGGGTGGTGGGCTGTAACCATCTTTGACTTAACCTTCACCTGTGGTCTTCTGCAAAGCAGTAATTTAACTAGTAAAAATTCAGGTCGCCCGTGTGATGTCACAACATTTTTGTTGCAGGCAGTGACGTTGCAAAAATCTAAAACCCTGGTTATTTACGTCCACAAGCAAATGCTGACAATGGAGAATTCACAAATCTACACCTGGATTGGGGTTTTCTGGTTTTTGGTATCGTACATCTCCACATTCGTGTGGATGACAGGAGAAAGCGTGGGATGCCCGGCTATGTGGGTACAGGGTATTATTGTGTCTATGGCTATGTGATCAGCTGGTAACCAGTCTAGACCAGATTTTATCCCCACCAGTGGAAATAAGGACCAACTCCCTACGACCCTGCACAGGATCAAGTAGGTATAGAAGATTAAAGCTAGAAGAACTATTGTGGGAAAACTTGCAAGACTTTCAGTGATCCAAATGTTTTAAATGACCCAGTGTTGCTTTTTTTAAAGACATTTAAGCACTTTTCTTTAGAGGTTGCTGCTAAAGGCTATAAAATAATGTTATAAAGAGGATTTTCATTCATTTGCATGTGTTTGACGGCGATTAAGAGCCTCCTGGTTGGACAATGATTGACACAGTGGAGGCAAATCATGCATCAACACAGTGCAACATAAAATCTCTGGCCTCTCTGCTGCAGAAACGTTCATTTAGTTCTTGTAAATTCTTGTTCTGACATTTTAACACCATGATTCCCATCATATTTACTTTCACGACTGCCACGACTACATCGTTACCTCTTGAAATGTCTCAAGAAGATCCCAACGTTCATACTCCTCTTAGAGTCCAGGATTGTAACCTAAAGACAAAACTCATCAACATAAAACACAGGTTTATCCACCTCTACGCCTTAAACAGACAATGTGCAGCACATTCGTCGTATTTTTGAGGAAGCTAAACAAAGAAAAACTACTGATCAGTTTTAGTTTAGCAGTTCCTCATTGATAACAGGTCATATGTGGAACTTCTAAAAGAAAAAATGATAATCAGTTCCCATTTGTGCATTCAGTACTTCCCTTATGGGGCCCATTACTGTAATTATGCTTTGCTTACGTCCAACATCATTTGTACCTGAGGATCTTGCGCACAGAGGTCTGTGCCATCCTTCTTTCTCAGACCCAAGCCTCTTGAGCTGCGGACAGAAGCACGTTTATCAGCGTGACTGAACAACTCTTCCATGGCTTGAATATCCAGCACCAGGTCTCTCTGAGATCGCTGGGACGTCCACACGTTCAGCTTGCCAACAACATGGTGGCTTGGAATTGTGTCCCAGTTCAGCTTTTTCATAGAGGGTCTTCGTTCACCACAAGAGCTAAATGGAGTAAGTGGAAGATTGGGAGAAGGAGGAAGAGGAGGTGGTGGGAGTGGAGGAGGAGGAGGCAGTGGTGGTATGGCTGTAATATGTATGGTGGGAACTCCAGGAGATGTTTGGAGAGCGGAATCTCCTCGAGTGTCCAGAGGCAACCGAGGAGAAGCGGATTTAAAAAGCAGCATTCCCTCCATGTTCACGCCTCACAGTGGATGGTGGGAAGTCTCCACTCTGATCTAAAAAGGCAAAGGAATCAACAGTGAAAAGTTGCTGCAATTTAAACACAAAGAGGATTTGAGCACATCAGAGTGGAATCTGTCAAAAATGTCAGGTTAATAAAATAATGATCAATGGTCCCAAGTTTCAAATATACATTTAATAGCTAAATTGATCAAAGTAATAAAACAAACTGAGAATTTATCCTGAAATATTGAATTTCTTTAGACAATTTTGTTCTAAAATTAAATAAAGATTATTGTTGCCTCGTTTTCTTTTTGATTATCTGATTCCAAATAACTGGAAAAAGTTTTCAATTTTATTGCTTGTATTTAGCATGGATAGCTATCCACACACACACACACACACACACACACACACACACACACACACACACACACACACACACACACACACACACACACACACACACACACACACACACACACACACACACACACACACACACACACACACACACACACACACACACACACACACACACACACACACACAGAACTGTAGTTTGGAGCCACTGATGGGTTTTTTTTGTTGCAAAAACAGAACTTTATTGCTTGAGTATGATAAAACTCGTTGTTAGCTTAATAAATAATTTTCCAAGATATTTCAACACAAATTTCACCTCAACAGCTTAAAACATCCAATAATGTTTTCATACAGAACTCACAGAAACATCCAGGTGGAGTTTACCAGAGCAATACTTTCAATTAAAACTTTAGAATTTGACTCACGGTGATTTTTTACAGCTTAGATGTTTTAAAAGGTCCCTCTCCGGTCTGGCGTTGCGGTCTTCCACACGACCGTTGTCGGTCTGTAACAAACACGCAGCTGCAGGTGCAGGGAATTCTTATAACAGGGACTGTCTCAACCAATCAGGTTTAATTCCCAAGTAAGGAAACGCCCTCTCTCTCTCTTTTTATTTATTTATTTTTACCTTTTTTTTAAACAACGAGTATACAACATAGAAACGAATGAAGTCTACAAAACAACAGACTATGAATACACAAAGCCATGGGTAAAAGAAAAAAGTAACAATTATAAGAATACACGCAAAAATTCACACACACACACACACACACACACACACACACACACACACACACACACACACACACACACACACACACACATATATATATATATATTGTTTTGAGAGCATTTTTGTTGGTGGATTCTGATATTGATTTTATGTACACATCCTTAAAAAATGACAGAAATATGGCGTTTTGTTGGTAAACTTACATTTATGAATAAAGAATTTAGCTAAGAGTATTAACAGATTTATCATAAAAAACATTTATCATTCTTCATGGGGAACTTAAAGAAACAGAATAAAACATTTTCCCATCGTAAAGAAAACTCGCTTAAAATATGGACAGTAACAAACCTACTAAATTCCTTCCAGAATCTTTGTGTAAAAGAACAGCACCAAAAAAGATGTGTCACAGTTTCTGGATGATCCCCACAGAAAGTACAATTTGTATTTATGTGCCTTTTAAATTTTACCATGTATGACTGGCTGGATCACATTTATGTAGAAGTTTAAATGAGACTTCTTTCACCTTATTTACAATCAAATATTTCTGGGGGATCATCCAGACTGTCTTCCACTTGATATCTGGAACATATCGGTTCCAATGAGATATTATATACGGGAGAGAGACGGTATCTTTCTGGAATAAACTACGTATTCTCTTGTTGCTGTTACCAAGTTCTAGAGAAAAGCAGATTTTTCCTATTGATGACTCAACTGGATCAGGGAGAGTGACTGAGGTAGATATTGAGGTGAAGGTAGATATTGAGGTGACTGAGGTAGATATTGAGAAGGAAACGCCCTCTCAAGCGGAAGTCAGCCAGGTTTTGGTTCTACATCTTTTTCTTTCCGGCTGACAACCGTTTAGCGCGACAGAACACCGGCTCACTCCTACTTTGACTCGAAGACATGCAAACACGACACATGTTTCAATTCTGCCCTTCAAATGTACGAAAACAGCTAGCGAATTAGCCGAATACGATTAACCAGACTCCTCCCTTCTGCCGTGCGAATCATCATTTGTTTTTTTTATAATATTTGAATTGCTTTTATTTTCGATTTATTCATCATATTTAACTTTTCTCATGTACCATGTTCAGCGCCTTGGGCTTCCCGACAGGGTCGCGGAAGGCGCTTTATAAATAAAGCTTTGATTGATTGATTGATTGACTTCGAACCGAGTCACGGTCCGGCCAACTGTAAAGGAATGGACCCAATGAAAATCTACCAGGCAGTCGTCTCTTACGTCAGAATTTAATTAAATACATTTTCATGGTTGAATATAACAATTTGAAATGTCTAAATTTGAAAACATCGTTTTCTTTTCCATTTTCAATTTATAAGAACAAAACAAAGTTCAGTACATAAGTTATGAACCAAAACGAAAACAGTTTATTTGAAAATTTGTACTTTTAATTTGAATAGATCTTCTCAGGTGTGAGGAATAAAATCAGAGTATCCACGACATGACTTAACCATAAATAGCTCATGTTCATCATCTGTACAATATCAGCTTGGTCTAGAAAACATTTGATTGTACACAAATAAAATATATAATTTTAGAAATCTTGCTCTTGGCAGCAATCTAAAGTCCTTTGTGAAATTTGTCAGGTCTGTCATATTTTTCCAAATATGGAACAAAATAAAAATGGCAATGTATTGCAATTGATCTTTAAAATTTAATGAGGACATTTAAAGGACAATTAGGGGAAAAAATGAATCACATTTCATTGATATTGCTTCATGACAGTCAAGCAGACCAGGAGCTGGCCGGTGTACTGTGGTTTAAGGTCACCACATCAAACTTAGATTTATATTCATGTCTGTAAAGGTGCAGCCCGTCTAAAAAATGATACCTTTAAAATTTCTTTCAGCCAGTTATAACACTTAGATCAGCATGACATCATACCAGCCCATGCAAGCTGAGAGGGAGAACGGAGCTTCAGTGTAAGAACACATATCTGCACCTGTACTACCTGCCATGCAAGTACAAAGACAAGAAGCAGGAAGAATGACCGACCCGATAACTGAAGAAAATCCCATCGTACAAACATTCAATCAGCTTCTTTTCATCACACTTAAGCAGTTTGATCTTAATCATTTACTTTTGAAGCAGGTCAGTCAGCGATCTGGTTATCCTGAGCTGTTTTTTTAATAAATTGTCATCTTATAAAACGGTCATAACCAAACAGTTCTAGTGTGAAACAGAGATCAACACAATACGTACAGAGACAATACTTAAATGAAAGATTGTGTGCTAATGCTAATGGAATAGTTGCAACAGTCGCTCACCGTCTAGTAAAATCATTAGTGTTATCACAAGCCCAGATTAATTAAGATTTAATGCTAACGTAATAAAATTAGTAACAGATCGACAGGATCATCTTCAGTGTGAAGAAAGATAGACAGACATTCTAGGTGTGGCCCCGAGTAATCACACATTTAAGACAGATAGAATAAAAAAAACATTAAAGAATAAAAAATGTTTCCCTATGATTCATACACTTCATTAACGGTTTTATAAACCCCACTTTAAAGGAAATGAGTACATTCCACAGTCAAGACCAATCAAAGATGCTTAAAAAACTCATGTAAACAAAATAAGAGTCAACGTCCAAAACAAACATCACTAACTCTTTGGGTAAATAAAGCAGAAATGACCCAGACTAATACTTTGGAAAGCTGTGGCAGTGTTCCTTACATGATTGTTGCATTTGTCTAAGAATGTTGATAAAGTCGGTCACTAACACACAGCACAGATGTCAAAGTAGTCAAAATTAGAAAACAGAATCATAAGTTTTTATTACTCAAAACTACATACGCCGTAGTGTTTTTAGGTCTATTTTTTCGTGATTTAATTTGAAATGTACATAGATATATATGGTTCTATATGAAGCCTCTTCATTTAGTGTGGTCAACGTTCTTGCAGTGATAAAATCGGCTCATAAATAGGCACAGTGGGAGAGACGATGGTTGGAAGGGTCAAAGGAGACAGGAGTTAGAGGTTTTAATCACTTCATTTTCTTTCTTTTACATTTGAACTGGGAGACCAACTCCGTCTGCACTGGGATCACTTGAGGAGTACCACGACCAACACAAGCTCACAGTAGAATCGTGTCTTCAACGGGAGAGATTAGGTCAGGTGGATGAGAACGGTTACTATAGAAACGAAGCACAGAGAGGTTAAGGTGGAGCAGTAAAGTTGGGAAAAGAGGCACATCAAAGGCCCCTGAAGGTTCGTAAAATGAGCCACTCAAGTTTTCTCCTGCGTTTAGCACAAAAACCAACTAAAACCTTCAAAACACCAGTTCGCTCATCAGGTCAAAACTCTTCATATCTTCACCAAATGTTTATTGTGCGCATCCTTCTGGTGTGGCCCTCTGTAAGTTTGGGACTTGAGCAGGTAACAAGTGAAGGTGGCTGCTGGAAGTCCTGCAGGGCGTCTCATTGCTCCTCTAACCAGGAGGGCTTGTCAGCTCCCGGGGGCCTCAGCTTTACGTTAAACTGCTTCAGAGTTTGCTCCAGCTGCTGCTGATTGCCTGCAAAGTATGCTGAGATTGCATTATGGAAGAGCAGGAGCTGCTTGTGCATTACCTTCACCTGGGACAGAAAGCCACGAAAGTCGATTGTTGGATTTTTATAAAACAACCAAAAGTGTAAAAGCCCAGTTAATGATGCCACAGATGTGCAAAGCCAACTGACCTTATTCTCCTCCAGAAACTTGAGTTTAATGGTAACGTCCGAGCGAAGGCGTTCGTACTTTTCTTTATGAACTTGGTACTGTTGCTGAGCCGCATCAATCCTCGCCATGGCAACAGCATCTCTTGGACCCAGACTGAGTTCCTCAAGGTCTGACCGGTAGGCATCAAACTCCAGTCTAAACGCATAAAAATAAAAGTGTTATAAATACTGTTGCTTAAATAAGAAAGGACACAATTACAAGAAACAGCATGAGCGTCAGTAACCCACAGGTTATGCATATGCCAACAGCTTTAATCAGTAAGTATTATATAGATGTGGGTACCAGAGGAGCTCAAGGACATGCACCTGCAGATGACAACTAACTACAATAATCTGGATGTTGGCACATTCATGGATATGATTTTGGTTGGTCGGAACAAACAGGGGTTGCACAACGGCTTTCGTAACCTTTATAACTGATATTTGGCCCAATAAATGATCCTAGACTGCACATGATAAATACAATTATTTCCTCAGATGGGATAAATACGTTTTGGTGGATTCTTATTAAATAAGGCCCTATTTTAAACAAATATTGTACAAATAACAAATCCAGTAAATAAACATGAGAACAAATTAATTTTACTGAAGATTTGACACTCAAACAGCCAGGGGTGGTAATTATATAAAGACATGCATAAATTCACATATAGGAATTATTTAGGGTTGCTCTTCTGTTAGTAGAGTCTGATGTGGATTTTAGTGGTTAGCTGGTTATAAAAATAGGGCACAATGTAGTTTGTCCGAATGGAGTTGCCGTAGCGTGATGCCGTTGGCAAGCACAGAGCACATCTGGTGAAGACACCGTTTCTACCAGCATTACCAGTGTGGGCTTCCATCCTGAGCCTCGGGAATTTGGCGATTGTGTCCAAACATTTCAGCATTTTTAGTAAAAAAAGAAAACCTAGATAAAAATTATTTAATTAAGAATCCCTGAGGAAAATCTGAACTTTACAACTTATTCTGCCAGCTGATGTGGATGTGCTAAACCCCCCTCACAGAAACAGAGTATCCTTAGCTTCATGTTTTGTGCCAATAAATAAATAAATAAATAAAATAGTTTATAAAGGTTTGACCACTTGGGGGGGGGGGGGGGGTGGATTCCCATTTTAACCACACAACAAGACCAATGTCCTTTTGACAGCTTGAGTGAATTTGTCGTCTCGTTTAAACATTCAAATGTTTTAGAGTAAAATGATCAATCTAAACGTTTTTAGCTCGTTTCTTTACCTAGGATTGTTTTGCTCTCCAAACATCATACTGTTTTATCACGCACTAACCTTGCATTTTCATACATCTTGATAGTCATTAGGGTGTCCTCCATAGTCTTGTTGACTAATGTGTTGATGCTGGACACAAAGAAGTTAATAGCACCCAGTAAAGTCTCCCCATTCTTGCACAGCAGCTTCTGAGTCTCTGCGTTGTAGCCAAACTCATCCTGGAAAGTCAGAAGACGTCTAAATGTTGGTTAAATCAAACCTAGCAAATACAAAATTAGGTTTAAGCCTCACCCGTAACTCTGGAGATTTCTGACTGAGATCAGCAAAGGTGTCCCCCAGTGAGTGCTGCGTCTGCACCATGTTGTAAAAATGATTGGTCAGAGCTTGGGCCAACCTCAGCACATTTTCATATTTCCTTTTCGTGTCCCTCAGCAGCTCAATCTGGGCCTCCAATTCTAGATCCACAGTCCGCGAACCCCGTCCAAATCGCTCAGAGATCATCTGTTTTGTACACTAAAACAAGAAGACAGGTCACACGGAGACCTCGCCAACACAAACTCTTTCAGATCCCGCGTACAAGGCAGGATTACTCCAACACATCCTCTCCGATACCTTATAGGTGTTCAAACTCCATTTCCTCATTGCTTCGATTTTCTCCACAGCGACGCCGCGGGTTGTTTCTTCAGCTGCCATTGATGAGCTGCTGCTGCTGTGGTGCATGTTGGGACCTGAGACGACGATAACTGTGTGTTAAACAACAAGCTAAACTATCAGATGGAGCTAGATATGCTAAAGCAGAACAAATCAGACATGTCTGACTATTGCTGAAAGAGCCCTTTGTGGAGGAAAGACCAAAGATGGACTCCATAAACCAAAACCAGATTAGTGTGACATGCACTTTGACACAAGGGTGTAAATTAATCTACAACGATCAGAAACAGGAGAAACCACCTCAGTGGGACAGACACCAGTTTTAAAGGACTCTGATGAAATTGTGCTAATTCTAGCATATTTGTTGTGTTGAAACACACAAAAACCATTGAGCTGACCAAGACACGGTAACTTGGTGTTTGTGGGACTAGTCCATCAGGATGTATGGGAAAACCTGCTTTGGGGAACGTTACCTTACCTGGCCTTCATACGCAGGTCTATGGAAGCTGATGGGTGGTCAGTAAGCAGACTCCAAAATAAAAATGACTTATGGTTGAAATAAAGAAGGGTGCAATGAGACGGAGTATTGTTGCATTTAGATTTGGAGTTTTTAAATCAGTAAACCAATTATGTGAGGAGAAAAAAGGAACTGTACATGAGTACACTATATGTAGCAAATAAATATATTTAGGGGATCTTACATCACATACTGAAGAAGCGACTGACAGAGAATTGAGTTGGAGGAGAATTTAGCTTCGGACAACAGGATTTAGTCTTACTTCCTGATATTTGGACATCTCCCCATCCTGCCTCTGACGAACAGCAACACGGTCCTACCACCGACTGGGTTTGCTTAGAAGTGTTGATGTTTTATCTAGGGCCCAACCGATATGCCTTTTTTGGGACCGATACCGATATAAAACTTTTAACAAAGGCCGATAGCCGATATAATGGCCGATAAATCTCCCTCACAAAAATAAATAAATAAATTTCCTAAGTTTAAACCCTTCATTCTCTGCCTTTTAGATGCAAACTTATTTCTCTATTACACACCAAAGAACTGTCTCCATAACTCACTAGGGTTTCCCAGTAATGCAAATAAGATTTATTATTTAGCAGGTCTCAAAAACAACAGAACACACAAACTCAGTCACAGCATAAATCTAACATTCAAGTGTTATCTGTGGTTTCCACAAATACATTTTAACTTAAAGGAATATTCCACCACTCAGTAAAATTGTGTCTTGTTAAGATTCCCCAGAGTTAGACTAGTCAGAAAAAGCATTTTATAACCAGCCCAAGATGATCTGGCAGCAGTTGGTTTTCTTAGTTTAGCATAAAACAACATAAGTGAATTCGCATACAGTGTAGTGTTTTTTATGTAGGTGAATGCAAGCCTTCCCTTCCATCGCTTTATGCTAAAACAACTGGTTACAACATGTTTTCTCTGACTTAATTAACTCTGGGGAATTTAACAACACACACACGTTTAGGGACAGAAGATCCCTGTAAGAATATTAAAATAATAAAAATGCAGCAATAAATAAAATGTTACACTTGTGCTTTGTAACAACGTAACACTGTGTGGAAGTTAGCTTGGTGAACTTATTCACCCTGGACAGGAAATAATTGCACATAAGAAACATAAATAAGAATAAATTAAATAAAAGTTCCAAAACAATAATTTGTGTTCAAAGTTCAAAGGAGTGGAGCCACACAACATGAGTTCATAAAGCTGGTCCCTCAGGAGGCCCTTTGGCGGGAACTTCCTGAGTATGGGGCACCAGGCCCTCTGATACGGCCTATTAGGTCCCTACATGATGTGTCAAAGCTTGGTCTGCATTGCCAGCAGTAAGTCGAGCTCGTTTCCGGTGAGAGTTGGGACTCCGCCAAGGCGCCCCTTTGTCACAGATTCCGTTCATCACCTTTATGGACAGGATTTCTACGCACAGCCCAGGTGTTGAGGGTATCTGTTTTGGTGGCCTAAGAACTGAGTCTGCTTTTTGCAGATGATGCGGTCTTGTCGGCTTCAAAAGAAAAAGCTCTCTGGCTCTCACCGGAACGGTTCGCAGCAAAGCGTGAAGGAGCTGGGTTGAGAATCAGCTCCTGTCCAGTTGTAGCGATCTGTCGTGGTGAGGAGACAGCTGAGCCAGAAGAAAAAGCTCTCAATTTACCTGTCGATCTACGGCCTATGGTCACTAGCTTTGAGAAATAACTGAAAGAACGAGATCGCAGATACAAACAGCAGAAAAGTGTTTTCTCTGCAGGGCGGCTGGGTGAGAAGCTCAGTCAACCTCTAATAAATACACCTGAAAACATTTCTTACCTTTAGTTCAAACCTCCTTGCAATATTAGAGTAACACATTTTAATGTTTTGATGATACGTCATTTCCTGTCAGGTTTACAAATAATAATACTGCATATTACATATTTATTAATACTGAGAGGCACAATTTCAAACTGTCAGCATTCATTTTGGTATTTTCCATTAAATATTTTTATTAAAATAAATGTAACTATAAAGTTTTATTGATCCTAAGTGTGAAAAGTGAATTTCACATATTTCTTTAGTTTCAAGTTTCGATAAAATTTCTTTTACAGAAATTGAAAATGATTGAATCAGAAGATAAATATTTAGACTAAAATTAAAAAGAACTGTAGACAAAAGACTAAGACTATTACACTAACCTTTCTTATCAAAATTAACACTGTGCTAAAGGAAAAAAAAATGATCTTCAGATGTGATTTCAGCTCGTTTGTTCTTCTGAAAAAGAGAAATGTGATAGAAAAGAACAGAAAAGCGTCCTCCCAATCACCTAAAAATAATATGCCCAACTAGTAACGAGAGCCAATTTCCAAAATGCGACATCCACCATGACAAAAATGATTAAAAAAAAAACCAGGAAGACATTTCGTTTCTCCAATAAGAATAATCATATAAACACTTTTTTGCGTCCCATTTTAGAAAGGAGCTCCTCATTATTAGTAAAATTAAGTTTAAGCCACCTAATCCAGTTACAGGTATCCTTTTGTTAAACTCAGGATTGTAGTGCACAGCAGGGCCTGAGGAAGAGAGGTGGAAAAACACCAACAAAATAAAATAAGTCGTGATGGTTAGTGTGATCCCTTCTAAAACTACCTATAATAGCAATGTTACATAAGACTTGGCTGTGCTGTAGGGCTTAATTCCTGAGGCGATCAGACAAATGCACCCACTGATCAACTCCAACAGTTTAATCCATCCTCAAACACTCAGAAAGCCCACTTCCTGGTTCATTTCAACCATGCAGTGAAGGATAATCTCAGAGCAGCGTAGAACTCTACCTTTGATTGAGCTGGTGGGAATAATCCCCTCTGCTGTTCCTCCATAGCCTCCAGAGACGATGCTCGTCTCGTTTAGATTCGGACCCGACACCATCACCTGCTGCAGGTCCTGCAGAGTTGATCAGTGTGAAACAGGAACAGCAACAACAAGAGGAGGCGGGGTTAGGGATGGGTAGGGTGAGGATTATGACTCAAGTGTTAAATTATGTTAGAATTATAGTTTGAAAGCACAGGACAAAAATTACTGTTAAAGCAGCAATCCAGAGTTTTCCCTCTTTCAGGAATTATGTACGACTATTTTAGAAATCCACAAAAGTGATACTCATCCTGTACTGTGGTATTATGTAGGATATATGTCTTTTTTGCCATTTCTCTGCCTTCTTAAAATTCCCATGCAGCAATGTAGGTAACACCCTTTGAAAAAGTCTGCAGGTGTGGGTAAAGGGTGCAAAAGGGGTCAAGCCAAGCTCCACACTTGAGAATTGGGACACTACGCATCTCATCACTGGATGGGAACGCGCATTTAAAGGGTGCAAGTGTGCAAGTGTGAGTACAGTAATCCCTCGCTACTTCGCGGTTCGTTCATCGCGGATTCGCTGCTTCGCGGATTTTTTCTTTGGAGCATTTTTCAGGGAGAATTCGCAGATTCGCGGTATTTTTCACTGATTCGCGGTATTTTTCTATGCGAAATAACAAGAAATTCTTGTTTTTTTCCATCAATTTCATCATAAAATTCACTTTTTGCAATAAAACAAAAAAAAAAAACAAGTAAAAAAAATTTCGTGAGTTTTACCCACAAAAAGAGAATGTGATCATACGATAATTCAATATAGTACTGTATGTCAGACAGGTCGGCTGGAATCGGGAGTTGGGCTTGTAGGGAGCGTGGTTTCACAGACGCGGAAGTGATAGCGTCAGTGAAACGCCGGCTGATCTAGGAAACCCCCGAGCGTTCGAGCGTCAACGAAGTGACACGGAAATGCCGGGCTTTCCAGAAGTAAGTAAGATAACTTACTATGAGCTGATAGTTCGTTGGATTGATCGGTAGGTTGGAAACTCTGATCATGAATCTGAAGAAACGATGACTGAGTGGTGAGCTGGAAAGGCGACTTCCGTTTATAGCCGCGGTTTGTGACGTAGGTGCAACGTGGAGGGAATCCCTGCGAGGGGCATGCTGGGAGTCCCTACTTCGCGGATTTTCACCCATTGCGGCCAGGTCTGGAACGCATCTACCGCGATAAACGAGGGATTACTGTAATGGGACTGGGCCAATGACGTGTGTCATTAGTAGGACTGGGTGATATGGCCTAAAATCAATAACACGATATATTGAGGATTTCACCTCGATAACGATAAATGGACGATAACTACAGGTATGCGCAGAAACAAAAGTTGTCCACTAGATGGGGCTGTCACATGTATTACACTGAGTCACATTTTTATGTGGCTCAAGGTGGTACAGCTTCTTAAAGGGACATGAACATTGCCAACCTACACACATCTTTTCATTTTTTTTAGCATCAAATGTATTGATATGGGAAAAATTATCTTATAAGAGTCAGAATTTTTGATAACGATACATTTTCAAATTGTTGTCCAGCCCTAGTCATTAGTAACTCGTTCTTCCCCTGATCACTGTTTTCTCATATCCTGGCTCTTCCTTATAGAGTCCAAAAGATTCTTCACTCAAAAACTATTTTTTACTTATTTTTGAAAATGATTGGTCACCGAGTTTTTCATGCAGGCTCAACATGAAAATAGTCTCCTACACTTACCTGCTGCATTAGCTCCTGATAAAAACAGACGATGATACTCTAGGACTAGAAAAGCATCTACGTCACATTTTCACTAACATTCATCACCCATCTTAGCTCCCAACAGGGAAGGCTGTTGTTGGTTTTGTGTCCAGAAAACAGCGGAGAACATTGCAGCTATAAGAAGCTAATCGTTAGCATCAGCAACGTTGTAAGTCAGCGGTAGAGTCACAAAGCTATTAGCTAATCCGAGGTGAGATGTCCAAATACCAGGAAATAAGACTCCAAAATCCTGTCATCTGAAGCTCTTCTCTGATCTGGCTATCATCTAGTTCCTGACATGGGCACACCGGAGCTTTTCCTTGCCAGATTAGTACTCACAGGTCATTCATTCTTACTAGAGACCATTGCAAATGTAATAAAAGTTTGAGTAAAGGACCTCTTTAAGATCTAAAATCTCTCCTATAAGAGTCAGTTCATCCCGCTGCCATCCTCAAAATAAATGAGCAAGATTGGAATTTCTTAGGAATGCACAGTTATGAAAATTTGGGCCAATAGATATGAATACTGCTGCTGTTATGGTTGATAGCTGATATTATAATAATTATATATAATTAATAACTCCGGGTCGGGGGAGAGGTCCTACCTCAAGTGGAGGAGTTTAAGTATCTCGGGGTCTTGTTCAAGAGTGAGGGTAGGAGGGATCGGGAGATCGACAGGCGGATTGGTTCGGTGTCTGCAGTGATGCGGACGCTGAGCCAGAAAGCCAGGCTCTCGACTTACCGGTCGATCTACGTCCCAATCCTCACCTATGGTCATGAGCTTTGGGTAATGACCAAAAGAATGAGATCGCGGATACAAGTGGCCGAAATGAGTTTCCTCCGTAGGGTGACCGGGCTCAGCCTTAGAGATAGGGTGAGGAGCTCGGACATTCGGGAGGGACTCGGAGTAGAACCGCTGCTCCTCCGGATCAAAAGGAGCCAGTTGAGGTGGTTTGGGAATCTGGTCAGGATGCCTCCTGGACGCCTCCCCGGGGAGGTGTTTGGGCATGTCCTGCCGGTAGGAGGCCCCCGGGTCGACCCAGGACACGTTGGAGAGGTTACATCTCCAATCTGGTCCGGGAACACCTTGGGGTCCTGCCAGAGGAGCTGGTGGAGAAGGCCGGGGAGAGGACGGTCTGGAGCTCCCTAGTTGGGATGCTACCCCCGCGACCCGGACCCGGATAAGTGGAGGAAGACGACGACGATATATAATTACACAGATTTTAAATGATACATCCGTATACATTACTGCTGCTATTGCTGAAACATGACCAAAAAATTGCTGCATGCATGGCCACTCCCCTACCAGCCCGAGACAGATACAACAGTAGGGCTGCACTTTATATCATAAAAATATCGTTATCGCGATATCAGCATGCACAATATGCATATCGCAAAAAACAGATAAATATCGCAATGAACGGTCAGCTCAAATGTTTGCTACACATGATGAATTCGGTCAATCAAATGGAAGCATGATGTTTTTTAACAACTAAATAGAGCTCTTCACCCATTTGCCAACTGGGTGGGTTCTCATAGGTTAGATGCCCGCCCCCGAGGCGGATGGCACTTAATTTTGATGTTTAGCAAACACCTGAGTTAGCTTTGTTCTGCTCTTTCTGCTGATTCTGCTTTTCCCTGGATCCACTGATTGCCTTTTCTCGTTTATTTTCTTTTCCCCTTTCCTCACATCTTTTGCATTTCTCATTTTTATGATTTTTTTATTTCTTTGTTTTGATTATTATTGTTCCTGAGTTAAGTTTTTATTTATCACAAGTAATATCAAGTAATATCATCATCGCAATATTAATCATTGTTATCGAATATCGCAGGTTTTCCTAATATCATGCAGCCCTATACAACTGCAACTAGATTGAAATAAATATATGGCCAATACGATGCATCCCTAGGAGTTTTTATTTTTAAGCAATGAGACAACATTCTTCTTTTTTCCATTTTCATATATGGAATTTGTTTTTTGTGCAAACAGTTAATGGAGACTACTACTACTAGTTTTAAAATGATTTAATCTAGAAATGGATTCATGTGGACGTAGCCTGAAAGTTTACCCCAAAAGAGGTCTTTTCTCCTAAGACAGGCTTCACTTAAGCTTTGCATCCAGAAGGAAATGCTCCAAGGAGCCACAAGTTCCCACTTTTCATTTTCAATCTGCCTTTAACTCAAGTAGCAAACATTAAAGAAGCTTCAAGCAATGCATGAAAGAGAGATGCTTTCTAGACACATTTCTCTTTGAGGAAATATATCAAACTCATTGGATATTAAAGTAAAAAACAGTTTTAAAAGCAAGTCTGTTAGGAAATGCTAACTCAAGCCTGATGCATGCTTCTCCGTCTGCGTCACTGTGGAGACACGCAACGTCCTTGCGGGCCTGCCAGAGAGCTCCGCAAGGACGGACAGAGCCGAGCTCTCTTTTCTAAACATCCGTCAGTCGAGATGGACAACGCAAGCTTGTGATTGGTCAAGACGCCACTGTCGTCTACACCGCCGCCACTGTGCCCTCAAAAACATAAAGAGAGCCGAGGATAACTAGCGAAAGACACGGAGAAGCTTGAAGAGTACCTCGCGAAAAAACTCTAAAAACATGAACGTTTAATTCCCCGTGACTGGAGGAGTGAAAAGATGCGCAGCAAGCGTTTTATTTGTGGACGGAAATGACAGGAAACGTGGGTTTAGAGGTGGGGAGCGCATGAAGAGGTGGAGGAGAATGAGAGACAAATATGTCCGTGTTAAAAGTCTCTTATATACAAAAAAACACAATATAAACACACGATCTTGGACCGATACATGACAGGATACCACAGAACAGCGCTACGCCCTCTGTTGTCCTGCCGGGGAATTGCTTTGCAACACTCTCCAGGAGACGGAGAAGTATGAGAGCAAAACGCTTCTGTCAATCCGTGCGTGTCTGTCCCTTGCGGAGCTGACGGAGAAGCATAAACCAAGCTTTAGCCCACAGCAGCTTAGGCTGAAGGAAATTAGCTTCTTCCTTTCCTTTTAACTTTCAGAAATTTTAAATGAGCTAAAAAACAAAATATTAGGTTAAAACAGAAGCAATTGGACATCAACAACACAGCATTAATATGACCGGTTTAGTAAGACGTCTGTATTTGTTTTGTTAGTACTTAGCTAAACCTGCTAAGACATTAAAGGATCAGACACCATTAAAGTGAACACACACACACACAAAGTAGGTCAACAAACACTATGATGACACAGTCTAATTAATGAAAGGAGTTTTCTTGTTGAAAGTGTTAGCCATACGTTTGTTAATACAAGTCAACTGAGATTTTCTCTCAGCAGCTTTGGAAGCAACAGCAGAACAGAACTACACACCAGCACCACAAACCCAAATGCACAAATGGCCTGCTCACCCTGGTGCCTCTGGAGCTCTCATTTAAGCTCCACTGCAGCTTTGCAGCCTGCAGAGATGAAGGTACATGAAGGAATGGGGGTGGGGGTCGACAAACAACAAAAAAAAAAACAAAAGAGACAAAAAGAAAAATCCATGACTCAAATTATGCAACAAGAATCAAAAGAAAGTTACCAGACAGCAATGAGGCTAAATGGAGAGCAGTGATGACTGATATTACAAGTCAGCTGTCTGTTCTCTACAGATGGCTGAACTTTTTGAGTCAGCAACATTCAAGATGGCCACCATAGATGATCAGCATTAGCAAAAAGGCTACAACTCTTTCAGTTTTACACATAGTTTACACATAGCTAATATTTGGTGTGGTGGCAGCTTTTGCCAACTCCTTCCAGACATCTGGCATGAAAGGTGGCAGAAAATATTCAATCCTACAGCAGATACTAGATAACAGTACTACTGACTAAAATTAATCATGGCTGGTGATTTAACGTTGGTGTAGGTACCAGATGTGTCTGGGTGCCATACTGGCTTGGGGCCCTGCGCCTGCCAATGACGCTAAACTGCAGCAACGCCGTTCCGACAAACTACATTGCCCCTTACTTTTTAAACCAGCTAAGCAATAAAATCAACTAAGAAAACAATTCTCAGACCATGCATGTATTTATATAAGTACCACCACCACCCATGGCTGTTTGTATGAGTGTTAAACTCTCCTGTATATTTCATTTGTTCATGGTGTCGTGTGTTTGTTCTGTTATTTAAACTAGTGCCCTATTTAAGAAGAATCCTCCAAAATATATTTTTCCTAGGGCTGGGCGATATGGCCTCAAATCTACATTGCGATGTAATCTGAAGAATGTGCGATTACGATATATACTGCAATATATTTTTTCCTTTGTTTATATATGTCAAAATGGCATGCTTTAAAAAAATCCTCATATGTAAAATATATTGCAGCAGAATGAAGACATCCAAAAAGTGTAGAATGCTCCTCCTCCTCCTGCTACATGCTTGCTGTCACTGCCATTCTGTTGTTCCAATGTCGGCTCGGGTGCACATCTTAGGTCTAGTCCACACGTAGCCGGGTTTTTTAAAAACGAATATCCGCCCCTCCAAAAACTTGCATCCACACCACCTCGTTTAAAAAAAAACTCTGTCCACACGTACCCGGATAAATACGTTGTTAAGGACATGCCAGACCTGTAGGTGGCAGTACTTCCCCCATCTTAACCTCGTCCTTCGTCTGTGGTCTTCCTTCGTCTGTGGTCTTCCGCAAGGAGCAGTAATTCCGCTTGCAAAAACAAACAAGCAAAAAGCGCTTGGACAATTGATGGATCGGATAGTGACAGAGCGCAGCTCTGAGGGCATCCATGCTGTCGGCTAGTGTAAACACAGGTCGCACACGTGATGTCAGCATTTTTTTGTCACGGAAAGTGACGTTGCGGACCTTAAAACTCCGGTTTTGTCTGTCCACACGCAGACACCCAAAACGGAGAAAATGCAGATCTTCACTTTGGCCGGAGTTTATAAAAAGATCCGTTTTCGTGTGAAAAAACTCCGTTTTTGTGTGGATGACAGGCCAAAACGTAGAAAAATATCTACGTTTTGGCAGATCCCTGGCTACGTGTGGACAGGGCCTCTGACTTTGTTGTTCCAATGTTGGTGCGTTTGCACATCTTAGTGACATCATGTGTTACCGCGATATCGCGGTAGAGCCAAAAACGTATTACCCAATTTTATATCTTTTCTACCTTATATCGTTTATATTGCCCACCCTTAATTTTTCCCACGTGAGGAAATGAATTTGAGTATATAGATAATTTTATGAGAAGAACTAAAATCCATGAGACCAACTAGCTTGAGCAGACCTGGCTACCCAAGAACATTAAATGCTAACCGATCTCCTGCTATTTGTCTGGACTGACCAAATTCTTCTAGGTAAATGTGCCAACGCCTAGCCGATCATGTAGTGCGACGTTATTTAGTGCTTCTATTGTTGGATCTTCTTCACGCTGCAGCATCTGTTGATGTGGGTGACACACAGGTTCCTCTCGGCACACTTTGTTTACGGAGGCTGAAATGGAAAAAATAAAGAACCCAGAAGGAAAAGGCCCTACACCAGGCTCCTCACCAGCTGCTCAACAAGCAATAAAGTCATTTTATAAAGTCATCTCCACATGTAGGACGGCTCCAAACTAAGAGCAAAATGACAGAAATCCATCTGATTTGAGAGCGTTGTCTCCCAAGGACAAAGCACTGCTGCCGTGTTGCCATGACAACTGGTGGAAACACAGGACCAAACAGTTCAGCTGAAACACAAACACACACTCAGCTAAACGGTGGCCTTCCTGTCAGCGATAGCTGAGAGGGCGGGGCCCCTTTCACATTTACAATCTGAGCAGAGACACAGTTTGATGAGCAAACAGCATTAGAAACAGCCCGAGTTCCTTCCAGGATCTTCACTGGGTTTGCATAACTGGGCGTGCCTTAAGATGCAGGAAGATAAATAATCTTTTCCCAAAAATCTACTTGGCACCATGTATGCAGGTCAGGCAGGAAAAGGGGATCAAATGTGAGTCCAACATTGAAGAATTTTAGTCTACAAGGATGCCAAGTAGGCCACGAGAGCTGCTAGAAGCAGAAAGTGGTTTCCATGGAGACATCTCAACACCTGATCTCTCTGTGGAGATGCTTGTGTGGAAAAAGTAAGCAAATGACTTGTGGCTTTAACAGAAAAACACTATTTAGGTCTGTTAGGAGATTGTGTGTGTGTGTGTGTGTGTGTGTGTGTGTGTGTGTGTGTGTGTGTGTGTGTGTGTGCGTGTGTGATGTAAAGAACAGGAAGACTTAGCAAATCATGTGACCCACAGTGTACTCTTAAAAGCAGACCGACTTTAGGAATAAAAGCTGAAATGTTGGATAAAATTATGAAAAATGCAAAAAAACTGCAGTTGTGAATTTTATATTTCTGAAGGGAAGAGAATGCTAAAGATAAAAGACTTCATCTTCCTAACTGCGGTGAGATTTTATTGACAATTTGTGCCAAAAATTCCAAACTGTGTGAAAAAAAATGAACCACATGAACAGATGCAGCTGCTCCAAAAGGGAGTTTCTGCTTTTTACATTTGTTTTCTGCCAAATCCTGCTCCTCACTTGCTGATATGACAGAGAAGTCCACATATGCGTGCCCTTCATATTTATGAAGCTTCACGAGCAGCACGCTCTGTGAATCATGTCCTTTTCTTTGTGTACAATCCCTCTGAGTCAGGATGCATCTCCAGGGGAGAACGTCCTGTAGAAAAAGCCCAGACTGCACGTTTTGTTCTGAATTTTTTTCCTCTAGACTGAAAAAATTATTTGAGCATTACAAATCAGACAGTAAATTTTAGTTTTTCCAGATTATAGGCTATGTGCAAACATTTTTTTGTGCATGTGTAACAGCTTTGGTTTCAGCCCTGGCCAGAGCTTTGCAGCAAATCAAATAAAAATGTACATGTAGGTTTCTAACTTGGCCTTTCCACTGGATGCGTAAGTGTCTCCCGACGTAAAAAGACGCCTTTTCCCAACAACACGTCCCTTCTCATCGGTAGGTTTGCAGAGACAAAACAAAAAGCAAAAGACTTCCATGCAGCTGGCCCTGCAAGGTTAAGAAATCACCTGGGAATTAAAAGATCACGAGTGATGTCAGACGTTCAGTTGATAAGAAGCAAGGACAAAGATGGCAGCATGTATCCAAAAAGGTTTGGTTTATTTTTTGGTCTGCTTACATTGGCTACAGAGGTTTCACACAAAATGGCGTTTTTATTTATTTATTTTTTTTACTAGTCAACTAGAAACCTGCTTGTGTCTTATTTTGAAAGTTCCAGGAAGTTTTAAACTGCTTTTGTATTCTACTTCCTGTCTGGCTAGATCTGAATTGCAGAACTTGACGCGCTCTGAGAGTGCATCACGTAAAAATACACTCAAAGGGTAAACATAGTGCACCCATAACTAACATGGCAGCTGACTGCAGACATTAGGAGATGCGTCTGCTGGAACGGCAACAGAACTCCCTACAGAAAACCACCTCACAAATGATGAAATGTTGCGTCACGCTATATAACCTGCACTGCTTGCTTGGCAGACAAGAAACACCAACGGTTTGTTTCTGTAAAGAAAGCGCTTCATCTAAAAACTGTTCAGGGTTGTCTAAAAATATTACAAGCAGCATAAAGCCAGCTGACCCACCTGTTCAAGGCCATCATCCTCTGCTAGGGCTCCTGTGTCACCGTTACTGTTGATGGGGATCTCCATCGTGGCAGCTTTACTCATAATACCGTCGGTCATGATGCACAATATCCAAGAGGCAATGGGAGGAAAGGCTGTGTGAAAATAAGGTGAGAATAAAAAACAGTGAGGCCAAACTGTGGCTTGTATAAAGAAGCTTAATTAAAACAACCAAATCAAAGAGCAGATGGGAATAAAATTATCACAAATCAGCGCAGAGGTGGTGTTCAAAGAGCAAGATGCACGCCCTCCACGCAGACAAACCCTCACAAAAAAATCGATCCATCCAAATGAACTGGACACTCAATCAGCAGCCTGTTTGTTAGCTGCTTTCTAAAAGGAACAGATGCAAGATGTTTACATTAACGCTGAAATTATTCTAGCAGGTCAAACTCATTAAGCCAGTTGGACAAAAAATATCAACAAATCAAAAAACAAGTGTGACTAAATGCACAGGATTCCTACAAATGTTGGAAGATGCTTGTTATTGTATTGTTGCTTGAAACAACCCAGCCTTTAAACATCTGAGAAGCAAATACGTGTAAAAACTCAAAGTACTTCTGAGTGACGTGCCATGTTTTAGACTCCAAAACCAAAGACATGGGACTTATTTTGCAGAAAAACTGCTAATAAAGCATAATTATGTTTTCTTTTTTTTTTTTAAAGCTACATGTTTAAAAAATGCCATGCCTGATCTGTGGTTTGCCTTTTGGGTTGAGAAAGATGTCACCCACAAGGAATTCAGGCTCATAACTTAACCAGTGTGTGGTTTGAATCATTTCACTGAATCGTTTGTGGGAAGCAAAGCCGAGTTAATGGATGTCTGAAATTTAAAATGAGATAATCCAAGAAAAGTGATCAACAATTCCACAAATGTGTCATGAATAATGGTATAATCAAGGATTATGGGCAAATAACCTGTCTGAAATTAATTCTGTGTAATCTCCCAAAACTCCTAGACGCATAATTTACCCCAAAGAATCATCTAATAAATACATTTACTGCTATAAATGGGAGTTTCCAGGTTTCTGTGAGTCCAATCACAAACTAGAACACCAGAGATGTTGTATAAAGATAAAGGTGCCATTGAACGTGTTTACATTGGGTCTAACCCCGCCTAAGGGTTGTTCCATCATGACCACACAGCTTGTCATGTCCAAACTGTTGATTTAACACGTGAGTAGCAAAGTTGCCTTTTCATGCAGAACTCAACAAATTCAGCGCACCTTAAGAGCTTTGACACGTGCTCTTTTCTTCTTTGCTTATCCTACAGCGTGTTTGGAAGTGCCATGGACAAACCTGTGAATAAATAAATGAATAAAGCTACATTTTCTGTAAATAACTGCACTTGATTTCTGACAAACATAAAGGTCAGGACCAGAATCCAGTGCCTGATTAGAAGCAGGTGCGCCAGCGCAGGTGCAGCTACGTTTTCGGCATACAGAAACGAATAATTCGGTTAGCAAAATCTACATCTGATAAAAGCTCTTTATATTCTAATGAGGTAATTTTTTTATATTTTAGTAAGGCTAAGATTAAATTGCTTTCCCAAGGGCCTACTTCCATACATACACCCAACAGCTGCTGAAAAAAGCTGGTTCAACTGGTTTATATTTGTCAAAATATTCAGAGAAACAGAGAAACCTTGTTTGTTTACTAAGTGCAAAACTGCATCTTACAGCTGAAACGTAAAAACGCCACTGACAGATATTTTTGACTTACCCTTGTTAATACAGCACTCTTAGTAAAGCTAATGCAAAAGCTAACGGGAGAGCATCCCAGTTGAAGCAGGGCTAGCAGCACAAATGTTGTGCTTCCGGTCACGCGAAGGTGAAAAAAGGCCAAAAGGAAACTTTTGTTAAAAAGTGTCAGTGTTACATGTCCAGGTAGTGGATGACTCTCCGCGCCTGTCTCTGCGTAAATATTCGTGTCCTTTCTATTGAAGCCCGAGAAACGCTTTGCGGAAGTGACGATATCGCGGAGATCTTTTTTTCTTCCCTAGACTCGATCAACAGATCGTCTATTAACAAGAAGAAGAGTTGCTATTCACTCTTCACAAGTCCAGATGTTGCCAAAATGTCAAGAACAGGGGTGGAAAAGCTCACATTCACAATGGGCCAAACAGGAAAAACAGGGACGGTGTCGGTGCAGGATCTGCTCGGGTGCAGGATCGGCTCGGGGTCCTTCGACTGCCGATGACGACACATTACTGTAAATCTACTCTTTCACACATACGTTTTGGAAAGACATCAGCAGTTTTGTTAATGAGATCTTGTTTGTTTACACCTAAATGTTTTCTTTATAATTGTAATTTGTTAACAAAACACCATATTTGTTTTGTAAAGAATGTGAAACTGCATAAAACCATATCGGACTGACAAAAAATAGTACCTATATGTGAAGCCATATCTGCTTGTATTAATATGGTGTTCGTCTGTATATTTCCTTAGTTGTTATCTAAATACATTCTTTGAATCAAAATATTGCTTGGTGTCTTTCAATAAAGTTCTTAAATTTTATTTTGCCCCATTTCATCAACATCAAGAGCTTTTCTCATTTGAGCTTTTATCATTTGCTTATATTTTACATTTCCTTTAGAAATTCAAACATATTTTCTCCAAAAACTGTTGATTTTTGGACTACAGGACTACAACCGCTAAGACTACGACTGCAAACGTGTTCTGACCAATCAAAATCATAACGTGATAATTAAACTTCCGTAAGCTTCATGTTCAGCCAATCAACTACTTTGACGTCATCGGCAGTCGACGGACCCCGAGCCGATCCTGCACCGACAATGGAATTATGTGCAAAGCTCAATACTTATCAATTGATTGCAACTGTGTACATTTTCCTTTACATTCACATGGTTTTGTTGAACCTTTTAATTTTTAACACATTTCAAATAAAAAATAATGTCGGTGGTACTTATTACTTTTACCTATTATCTGTATCTTTAGTATTTTCTCAGGCTAATAAAAAGACACCAAAAGGTTTTTGTAATAAGGAGCCTTTCAGTTTCCACTAGAGGCTGCTCTGGTGCATAGTTTATTCATACAGTCACTCACAGGTTTAGGTGCCAGACAGCTCATTCATACATCTAAACATCATCATGACTAAAGCGTGACATGGGAGGAACATAAATCAGTTCACTTATATATATATATATATATATATATATATATATATATATATATATATATATATATATATATATATATATATATATATATATACTCAACAAAAATATAAATGCAACACCTTTGTTTCTGCTCCGATTTTTCATGAGATGGACTTAAAGATCTAAAATTCATTCCAGATACACAATATTACCATTTCTCTCAGGCATTGTTCACAAATCAGTCTAAATGTGTGATAGTGAGCACCTGTGCTTTGTTGAGATAATCCATCCCACCTCACAGGTGTGCCACATCAAGATGCTGATCTGACATCATGAGTAGTGCACAGGTGTACCTTATACTGCCCACAATAAAAGGCCACCCTGGAATGTGCAGTTTTTTTGCTTTATTGGGGG